TACGCCAACGTCTCTGGCCATTCGCCGATTTTGACAATTTATTAAACATCTGGCAACAATTCTGCACATTTTAATACTAATCTCAATAGGGTTGGCAATTTCCACCCCAGATATTTCCCTCCTTAGAAAATGAAATGCAAATAATTTTTTTATCTGATTGTAGGAAAACTTTTTTATTATTAAATTCTTATTCAATGAAAACTTTCCGGAACTCTATATCTCACTCCAGAAGTTGAAGTGATGTTCAACTCATTCATTGAGTAAATAATCAGATTCTCAATGAATTGGAAAAAATTACAACAAGTCTAACAATCAAACACCAGATACTAATCAGTAGTTTAAGATGCCTTGATCATTTTATTTATACACACACACACACAAACAATACGAGGCTTTAAATAATTGCTTTTTTTGTTGTAATTGAAATGTGTTTAATTGTTGTCAAAGTTTTTATTTAACATATTTTTGTTGTAAATATAATTTTAAATTAATATTAACGAAAGTTATAATAAATTCAATACAATAGTAAAAATATATCGTTTTAACGATATTATAATCCTTTATAATGATAGCAGAAATTACCTTTTAGTAATTCCTGAATGTTATATAATGTTTTATAATCTTTAATATAGTGAATAAATGGATACTCAATAAATAATTACTTTTTTGTGCAAAAATGCTAAATCACAACAAATTCAATCCCATATAATATGATTTATACTTTATATAATTTTCAAATAAAATTAATGTATTATGTATTACGCGATTAAACTAATAAATAGACGTTTAATAGATATATAAAATAACTTGTATTACTAATACAGTATTATACATATACAGTATAATCTTTACCATTATCAGATTCGCTTTATAGAAACCAATGAATAATTTTAAAATAATGTTGGATGAAATACAATTTTAATGAGAATTATATTTGTAACTTTCATACAAGTTACATCAAATAAAAAAATTTATAATAAATACTTAAAGCTAACTGAATATAGACTTTAATTAATTATTAAATTTCATAACTTGTGTCTAATTATTTAAATCCAATCCAAAGCAAACTAATACAGTATTAAGTAATTTATATATATTTATGGAAATCATCGATAAATTGTTTGTAAATTTCATAATTACTAGTAATGATTGCAAACAAGGAATTCATTAATTTGTAAATAAAAATAAGGTTTGATTATGATTTATAAAAAATATTAAAATTATATGTGGATTATGTCAACAAGGTGTTTTTATTAAATATTCAATTATTTATGGTCTGATATTGACAGTTCCTTAAAATTTATTAATTATGCTCATAAAAAAATATGTAATTTTTATAATAATTTTTTTAATTAATCGTTTGATTTAAACATCGATTTCTTTTAATATATGAGTATTTTTGACACACTTTTAGTTTTTAAAATTGCTTTTACGTTACTTTCCATTTTGTACTTAACCTTATAATCTATTTTATCTTTAACTTATCGATGAGAGAGAGAGAGAGAGAGAAATTGATAATTCACTCATAAAAACTTAATCATAGATTGCATGAAGTGTTTGGGCGGCAATCAGTTTAGTAAAAAAAAGTTAAGGAAACAGTTTGGAGTGTGAGCTGACAGGACAGGTATATATCAAATACAGTATTATTGTTATTATAATTGCTATCATATCTTAACGTTTTGGCACAAAAGGTATTGCATTCACATAATATATATACATCTTTTAAAATAATTTTTATAACAAAACAATATATGAATTTTCAATAATGCAAAAAATGTATCCAATTGTAAATTACAAAAGCCGATAGCTTTTTATTTAAATATACCGCATATAAAAATACATGGATCTTATAAATGATTGATTTAATATTTTTTGTCAAATAATTGTAAAAATAAGTTAAGATTTTTTGAAGATACGGGACTTATCGCCATAGGATAGCACTATAAATATCGCTAAATGTATTGTACAATAAGTTTTTGAATTAAAATAGATTTCTACAAAAAACAACTTTTTAATATTTGTATGATTTCTCGGTTAACCCTTTTGTATAGACTTTTGACTAATTTTTTGTAAATTTTTAAAATTAGTTAAATATTTCATTTGGAAAATGAAATGCAAATAATTTTTAAATGTTTTTTATCTGATTGTAGGAAAACTTTTTTATTATTAAATTCTTATTCAATGAAAACTTTCCGGAACTCTATCTCTCACTCCAGAAGTTGAAGTGATGTTCAACTCATTCATTGAGTAAATAATCAGATTTTCAATGAATTGGAAAAAATTACAACAAGACTAACAATCAAACACCAGATACTAATCAGTAGTTTAAGATGCCTTGATCATTTTATTTATACACACACACAAACAATACGAGGCTTTAAATAATTGCATTTTTTGTTGTAATCAAAATGTGTTTAATTGTTGTCAAAGTTTTTATTTAACATATTTTTTGTTGTAAATATAATTTTAAATTAATGTTAACGAAAGTTATAATAAATTCAATACAATAGTAAAAGTATATCGTTTTAACGATATTATAATCCCTTATAATGAGAACAGAAATTACTTTTTGGTAATTCCTGAATGTTTTGAATGTTTTATAATTTCATATAATGTTCAATACAGTTAATAAATGGATAAAATATTATTATTTAATGATCAATATCTGTAATCTCTCAATAAATAATGACTTTTTTTGTGTAAAAATGCTAAATCACAACAAATTCAATCCTATATAATGTGATTTATACTTTATATAATTTTCAAATAAAATTAATTATTACGCGATTAAACTAATAAATAGACGTTTAATAGATATATATAATTATTATAAATTATATAATAATTATAAATAATATAATATAACATAATATGTTATACAGTATAATCTTTACCATTATCAGATTCACTTTATAGAAATCAATGAATAATTTTAAAATAATGTTGGATGAAATACAATTTTAATGAGAATTATATTTGTAACATTTTATAAAAGTTGCATTAAATAAAAAATTCATAATAAAAACTTAAAGCTAACTGAATATACCCTTTAAGTAATTATTAAATTTCATAACTTGTGTTCAATTATTTACAATCCAAAGCAAACTAATACTGTATTAGTAATACAGATATTAAGTAATTTATACATATTTATGGAAATCATCGATAAATTGTTTGTAAATTTCATAATTACTAGTAATGATTGCAAACAAGGAATTCATTAATTTGTAAATAAAAATAAGGTTTGATTATGATTTATAAAAAATATTAAAATTATATGTGGATTATGTCAACAAGGTGTTTTTATTAAAAAATTCAATTATTTATGGTCTGATATTGACAGTTCCTTAAAATTTATTAATTATGTTTATAAAAAAATATGTAATTTTTATAATAATTTTTTTTATTAATCGTTTGATTTAAACATCGATTTCTTTTAATATATGAGTATTTTTGACACACTTTTAGTTTTTAAAATTGCTTTTACGTTACTTTCCATTTTGTACTTAACCTTATAATTTATTTTATCTTTAACTTATCGATGAGAGAGAGAGAGAGAGAGAGAGAGAGAGCGCCTATTAGTAAAGTATTGTATTAAAAACTATCAATTGATGAAAATGAAAATAAAGAAAACGTATTGAATATTTTATAAATGCCTAAATGATCTGAAATAATGCACTTTTATTTTTCAAAATGTTCAAATTAGTTACATTTAGATATCATATTATTAATAAAATTAAAACATTTTTTTGTATTACACAGTTTGAGTTTAAATTAGCTTTAAATTACAAATTACTTTACATTTGATTCGTAACGTTATATTTAAAAAGCAATGAAATATAAATAGTATATTAATACGAAATATAAATGCAATTAAAATATAGGTTACATTAATTCAGTAAAAAGTGTCGTAAAATCAGAATATATTCAAAACCAAAAGGAGAGCCGCGGATGAGATGATTGCCGAAACGTAACGCGAGTATTGGTGATCACTTTGGGCCGAGTTATGCATCACTATATGGGCCACGATATGAGTGCCGTCGCCGTAAGCGCCCGACAGACAGGGTATATATTGGACGCTCTGGCAAATGGGATCAGTCAAGTTGGTTGGATTCAATGACACGCAATTGGTTTGGCTTATTATGAAACCCGACTCCAGACACTTCTTCTTCAGCCTCTCGTTTCGCGCATTGAATTTATCATCTGTTGATGTCTTCTCGCAATTCATATTCAACTACAAAATAATTAACAACAAAAAAATACAAACAAATCATTAATTAAAATTGCATTCAATGAACTAACTTCGCTCTCTTCCATACAACTGGCCTCCCATTCATAGCAGCACTTGTGGGCCGTGAGAGGGCCGCCCGTCCACCCCATGGTGTCCATTGACCACCGAATCTTCAGACAATTCTGATCCGCTTCGGGACTGTTATGACCGGAGTAGTGGTCGCCGTAATCGTCGGCACACTTATAGCCCATACTCTGCGGGTATGAGAGGTGTCTCGTGTTGTCCACACACTTGCCTTCACTCACACTCAACATCAGGTCATAGACTATGAGCGCCACGAATGAGACAATAAGACAACAGTTCATTGTTTAGTTGTTTTTATATAAATTAATTGTAAAAAATGGTTTGATTTCAACGCAAATCAATAAATTGTGGCCTAAAGTAGAGTGAAATCAAAAGTGTTGTCAACTATTTGTTACATTTTGTGTTGAGTTACAGTCTATTGAATGCAATATTAGATGCAAACTATGTGTTCGATATTCGCATAGAATTGTATGCATTTCTTGTCAATTATATATCAATTATAGTTTGTATTAAATACTTATGTATTTCAATCATTTGTTAATTGCTTTTTAGTTTTATATTTAGATATCAACACACGTTAAATTGAAATTTATATTATTGTTAATATTATCTCAGATTTGAAAAAATATGTATTTGTTTAAGACATTCATTAAAAGGTTGGTATGAGTTGTGATTGAAATACAGAATTCTATTCTTTATGTAAATTATAAACTCTTTTAATTGTTATAACAATTAATTTAAACATTTGTCACTCAAAATAGACCACTTGTGTTGGCATTGATTCCAGTGATTGGATATAACTATTGGTTTGCAAACAAGAGAAAACCGGTGAAACAATTAGTGACAGACAAACAACTAATTGTACGGACAATAAGTCTAAGAAAAGCTCATTTGAATGGAAGTAAAACAACCAATAAAATAGTCAGCGATTTGATGAAGAAGTTCGTCAATATTATTGATCAACAAATAGATATAAACAACGAGTTAATAGTAGAAGAGGAGGGGTCGGGAATGTTCATCGACTCCAAGGGCTATATACTGACCAATTGTCACGTGTCGACAGAATCGCCCGAATTAGTGATCTATCCGTTTACCAGAAGTGGTGGCGATATAGTGCTCAATGACGACCGCGCTTATCAAGCGATTGTTGTGTACGTCGAGCCAGAGTTGGATTTGTCGCTAATCCGCACCTCTCAAGAGCTGTCAAATCAATCGGCGGTCAAATTGTGCGAAACCGTAGAACAGGGCCAACAAGTGGTGGCCATCGGGTGTCCAGATATTGATTATTCGGTTTGCGATGGAGTTGTGTATTGCGTGGAATTTGCGGTTAAAAACGGTTCGCACGGATCGTATGAGTTTGGATCGGTTTTTAACGATGAAAACCATAAATGCATTGCCAGTACTAACACTATAAGCGGTGGTTATTCGGGTGGTCCTCTGGTTAACAGTGAGGGCGAAGTCGTTGGCGTAAACTTCGCTAACGATGAACCCATTTATAGCTGTTTCTCCACTTCGGCAACTGATGCCATAGGTTTGCTTAAGCTTTAAATTTGTTTGAAAATGTTAAGTAGTTTTTGTGTTGCAATTATTTAATGAAATATTTGATTATTTAATTCAAAGCATTTATTGATAGAGGAATGAAGTTTGAAAAGTCTAACCGAGAAAAGAGATATTCAATGAGTGGTGAGAAATGTTTGGGACTATTTGTTCGTCCGTTTGATTATTCAATGGAAATGCGAATTAAACGAAAAATAATGCAAAACTTTTCTTCAAATGTGGAGTCAATTAAACAAAAAACCGAAGGATTAGTGGTTTTGTGTGCATTAAAAACCGATGATTTCAGGTATGCTATAGTTTTCATTTATTTTATTTAATATTACTAACGATTTTTTGTTTCAAATGATATTTTTGGATAACTTTAGTAAAGGCTTTGAATTATTGGACATAATTATAAAAGTGAACGAAACTGAAGTCAAAACTATAGATGAATTGAAAGATAACCTGAAAAATGTGGAAAACGATTTAGAAATGACTGTTATTAGGAATAAAAGTATTCAAAAAATTTATCCCAAACTTTCCGATTATAACTGTTTACATATTTAATATTAATTTTAGTAATAAACTTATTACTTCTGATGTTTTAACATTTTTATAGTTTGTGTTATACTTTTCAAATATATTTTATTTTTGTTATAAAACTTTGTTTGTTTATTAGAAATAAATATTTAACTGAATTTTTTAGAAGTCTCTCTCTCTCTCTCTCTGTCCAGTCGTACGATCCGTTTTTGGCCGATATATACAGTCTGGGGGTTATATTGCATGTGTTTAACCCAAACACTTCATGCAATCTATGATTAAGTTTTTATGAGTGAATTATCAATTTCTCTCTCTCTCTCTCTCCTTCTCTCTTTCTTAGATTTATTTCAAAGCGAATGAATTGTCATTTTATTTGCTTTTTAAAAGTTTTAAATGTAAAAGTATAAAATATTTATTGCTTTGTTTTGTAAATAAGTCCAAAAAATAGATAATTCAATGGTTTTGTTCAATCGATTGCCAGAAATCTCGATGAGCCTCGAGTTCGGTGGAAACCCAGTTTTCACTCAACACTTGTTGTAAACTCATTCTGGTCTCGGGTTTCGGGTCCAGCATTCGTGTGACCAGATTCCGAGCCAATTGACTAGATTTGGGCGAGAATTTGAACTCAGAATTATTCTTTAGATGTTGTGAGCGATTGATTCTGTCCGTCACGTGTAATAACTCCGAACCGTATATTTTAAACGGAGATTTGCCCGCAATAAACACATGCAATATAACCCCCAGACTGTATATATCGGCCAAAAACGGATCGTACGACTGGACAAAGATCTCTGGAGCCGCGTATTCAACGGACCCGCAAACAGTATTACATTTGGCCACTTGTTTGAATCGGCCGACTCGGGTCACCCCGAATATGGCCATTTCCAAGTCGGTCAGTTTGAGCCGAAAGCCGTCGCCCTCCCTAAACATGACAACGTTATCGCATTTGATGTCGCGGTGAGCGATGCCGTTGTCGTGCAACCACTTGACGCCCGACAACAACTGGTCGAACCAATACTTGGCCAGCGGTTCGTCAATCGGTGTCCATTTGCGGCGCTGAAAATACGAGACCAAATCGCCTCCGCCTCCGAACTCCATTACAGTGAACACCTTCTTCTCGATCTCGTTCTTAATGTTAGCCAACACTTGCACTAAATGTCTGTTCGGGTGATCGCGAAGAAAGTCCGTGATCTCTATCTCTCGCTGTAAGTAATGAAGTTTGCGTTTGTTTGTGATCTCCAGATACTTAATGGCCACCACTTGTCCGCTCCGAGTCCTAGCCTTAAACACGAGGTGATCGTAAGAACTGCCGATATTTTCCATTATTTCATAGCCATTATTCATGAGATAAATCTTGTCCTCATCGCTAAGAACCCCAAATTCTGTGTCAGAAATATATGAAGTACTCATTATCTAATCTATTTCTAATTCTTGTAAATTATATCAATTAAGCAAAGAATTTAAGTTAATTTGTTAATTGAAATCCGTTTAAAATAATGTTTACAGATCTAAATGCAAGTGATTTAAAAATTATAAGTTAGTATTGTTAAGTGCATACAATAACTATGTAAGCGATTGATTATGCAAAACAACTGATTTTTTGCTGTGAATTAAATTTAAATATATTTAGTCAGTTTTTCAGATAAAATTAACAATTACTGTATTAAGAAATGGAAAGTGCAGTGATTTGTGTGGACAACAGTGAGTCCGTCGACAACATGTGTCTTGAGGAGCAGTTGAGAGTCGTTGAGTTCATCTGCAAAGCCATCTTTAGATCAAATACTGATAACAGAGTGTCAGTTATGGTGTCTTCACCCGAACCTCAAATCCAAATACACTTCTCAGAAAACATCATTAAAATAATAGAGAATTTTCCTGTTATCTCAAGCAATGGTCAGATGAGCATCGGGTGGACTCTTCTCAACGCTTTTGGATACTTGTGTCAATCATTGGACACTAAATGGCGAGTGATTTTGTTTGTCAACTCATTGGTCGCCGACAATGAATCGGTTGCCACAGAAGCTGTTGAAGCGCTGCGTAATGTTTGTCCCGAATTGACGGTCGATATAATCAGTTTCGGTGCGAATGTTAAGTCAAATTCAAGTCATTTAAAGTCTTTGATCGAAATCTTTCAGCAAAACAGTGCATCAAATTTGTACGAAATTGAGAGCTCAGAGAAAGAAGATATAATGATTGCATTGAAGGGACGCATCGCTCATAACATCTGTGATGAAGACTACGGACTCATCAAAATGGCAATTAATTGCGGATCTATTCGTCTTTTAAAGGATTTGTTTACGAAGAATGAATCAATTAATTTGAATAGCGATGAAAGCAAAGAACCCGCGAATGTCGCCAAAGAGTCAAATGAGAGTTTAGGTGTCGGTGTTTATGGATTGTCATCTCAAAGAAATACTACGAGAAACACAGAAAGTGGACAACTATTCAATGAAAGAGATCAACAGATTTTAGACAAATTAAGCGAATCCTATCTCAAGGTTCTGGAAATGAACGCCGAGAATGAGTCGACGGGATATTCATTAGAAGACTCAGAGATATTGGTTGAAGAGGTGGAGAAAGAGTTGCAAACATAATGACTAAAAGGGAATGCAATGGATGTGAACATAACAAACACCGCATCAAACAGACAATAGTATTCAAGTGAATGCTCTCTTATTTTTGTTATTTTTATCAAAATCTTATTATTGTATTTGTGACCAAATTTTAAAAATATTGCTTATGTTTAATTAATTACAAAAAATGTCAAATTCTTTATTAAAAAACATTGAAAATGCATTTGTTTCAAATGTTCAATGCGTTAAACTTATAACTGAACGCATTATAAACAAAATACACATTTTACCACTTATACACTTAAAAGTTCCAAATCCAATTTAAAAATTCAATAGTTATCTATTAAAAGTTATCTTTGAGTACTAAACAGTGCAATGAATTGTAGTAAAATAGTAGAATAAGTAGTAAAACAAGTTTATATGAAATACTCTGTAATTCGTGAACTAAACGTTATGCTTATCGGATTGAATACAACTTTCATAGTTATTATAACTCGATATAACTTTTTAATTCAATAAAGGTTTTGATTTAAAAGAATTTATTTTAATAATAATTTGATTAATTAATTAACAAATTATTTTTAACTAGAAATTATATGAAAGACTTAAGATTCTTAATTTAAGAATACTTTACAATTGAAATTACGTCAAAAGTATGCAAATGTTTTAAAGTTTTGATGAGATTTCAAAACAAGTGTTTCATTGAAAATATTTATTGATTTGAATCGAAAATAAATATATTTTTATGAAACTATTAATTGTAGTTTAAATTCAATTTATTAAATCAATTAATGATAAACTCTTTGATTCAATTGAAACAACATTTTATTTATGAAAATTGGTATTAATTCTGTCGAAAATTTCATTTGTTTTAAAAATTTCTTCACTGATCTAACTGTTGGGTCGGTCTTAGTGTCCGCTCCGGGAGTGTCTGTGGCCTCGGCTTTGGTGTCCTAAACGCCGCCGTATTGTGAAATGGATTCCACTTTCTTGTGGTCTTTCATCAAAAACTCATGACATTTGCCCTCTTTCTCGATGTCCTCCGAAGTGATGGCAGCCGTCGAGGGCTTGGGTTTCAACGAACAGTTGGTTTTGAGTTCATATCCAAAGGCAGCCAAAAGACCAGAAGAATGGCAGTCATGTGCTGTCAAGTGATGTCCGATTGATAGCCAGACAATTGAGAGTCAAAGTGAGGGGTTGTCTGTCATTCGCTTTGACTGTTTGTGATGGAAATGGAGGCGAAGGTGAGGGACAGCGAGTGATACCTGCGGTGGGATTGAAGACATGATCTGTTGATTCTGTGACTAACCTCTGATGAGGGTCTCTGTCGGGTCATCGGTAGGTCGGCGTCCAATCCGTCACTACAGGCAGTGCTGTCCCTCTCGTTGTCCAAAGAGAGTCGTAATCCTATGGTTGGTCTCCATATGAATCGGTGACACGAGTGTCGGGTCTTCGGCGGATCGCAGGCT